GCGGTGCTCCCGCATCTTCCCGCAACTGCGGTTCCGACGGAGGCCCCGCGCGACCCCGCGACTGCGGTTCTGACAGCGGCGAGTCTTCGTGGGAGGCGGCCTTTTCCTCGGCCGCGAATCGGCCGAGGCGGTTGTCTCGGCGGCTTTCTCCTGGGAGGCGGCCTCGTCTTCGGGTTGGGCGCCTCGTTTGGACTCGGCTGCGAGCAGCACGGCCGAGGGCGCGCTGCTCCCAGATGAGCCGCGCGCGGCACCTGGCTCGCCGGCCACCCCCGCAACTGCGGTCTCGGTGGCGGCTCCCGTCACTGTTGGTTGGTCCTGCTGCTTCGTCGGCGTCTGCGCCCGAGGCCCCCATTTTGCCTTGGGGGTCAAGTGCGCCCTGCGCAACTGCGCCTCTTCGCGCCTCCCACCAGCAGAGCTCCCACTCGCAGCGCTTATCGGCGGCGGCGGCCGATATTCCCGCGAGGAGCTAGACGACTGCGGGGAGGCCTCGCGCGGCGGTCGCTCGGGGCTTCCGCAACTGCGGTCCTCCGTCGGCTCCGCGACTGCGGCATCCGCGGCAGCCCCTTGCAGGCCGAACCTTTCCCGCAGTTGCTGCTTCAGCTCGGCGAACCGCTTGTCGACCTCGGCTTTGCGACCTGGGTCCATGGCGTGGCCGCGCGCGGCCCCCGTCCGACGGGGGAACTGCGGCCGGCTTGGGAGAGGAAGGGCAACGAGGGAGACGGCGGGGATGAGGACGAGGAAGGCGAAGAGGAGGATGGAGAGGACGCGACGGAAGAGGATGGCGCGAAGAGCTCAGACGAGGGTGAAAGGAGCAAGGGGACTGCGACGAGGATGACGGGGCAGAAACGGAGGAGGAGGAATCAACAAAGTCCGCAACTGCGGCCCTCGGGGGGGACTGCGACGAGGACGACGGGAAATGACTCGGCCAACGGAGGCGGGCTACGGCCAACGGAAGGAACTGCGACGAGGAGGAAAGGCGGAGGGAGGAGACTGCGACGAGGACGACGGGGAAGGGGCGACGAGGACGACGAACAACTGCGGATCCATCTGTTTAAGTACCTGTCTCCGCAACTGCGGCCGCGCTAATTAACGTCACGAGTGCTTCAACGGAGGTGATGCGCGCCCGAAGCACCTAATTACAGCGGTCAGTCGTGGGAGCGCCGCAACTGCGGCCAAGCTGTATGAAGTCGCTAGAAGGCAGCGCCGCAACTGCGGCCGAAAGCGCGCATAGTGAGTCAAACGAGCGCGGCGTCACGCGATCGGTCCCCGCAACTGCGGTTCCATGGCTGCGCAATCCCGCAACTGCGGTGTCAAGGCTGCGCGGACCACCGCGGTTGCAGCTGCGCCCCCTTGCTCGCGTCGAACCGCCCAGGATTCGGATGGGCGTGCAGCATCTTCCAGAACGTGAACGTTCCGTGGCCATCGCTCTTGCCGAGACCTGCCCTCGGGCCCCGCACGGGATGCGAGTGCGGCTCCACCTCATACGTGTTGAACTTCGGGCTAGACCAGGATGGGTGGACGCGAATGCCCGAGCCGTCGTCGCGGATGAGGACGAAATCCCACTGGGGCAGAGGGATTCTTTGCGCCTGTCCTCTGTCCACCCCTTTCGTGTGCCTCATGTTGTCGAGACTGCTAGGGCACGGGCGGCACTCGCAGCGGACCAACCCGCGACTGCGGTCATTGTCAGGGCCGCACACGACGCGCAGCATTGTAGGTCCATCCATCTGCGCGACCATCTCCAGCCAAGACCACGGCACTTTGACAGTGTGGTCCCAGTCCCAATCCCTGTTGTCCTGCGCCTTCCCCTTTGCGCGGTACTTAAGGATCTTCGAAATTTCCTCCGCAACTGCGGTACCTCCGAAGACGGGCGTGCGGCTGCCGAAAGGGTTTTCTCGGTCTTCGTACTCGTCTCGGAACCACTTCAAGGCCGCGTTGTGCTGCTTATAATTGCCGTTCCAGTTCGCCCTGAAGTTCTCGAAGAATTCCAACTTGAAAATTGGCAGCGGCTCATTGCGCACAATTTGAAACAGCGCAACTGCGCCTTGTTCTTCGCGCCCTGGGGGAAGCAGGGGACCGCCTCCTTTGCCCGCCGCTGTTGCGGCCGCGGGCTCCGCGGCAGGAGAACCTGCCGAGGCACTCGAGCGGCCACCTTCCCATGCATTCCACCAGCCACCCTCGTCGTCCCACCAGCGGGCGCCCTCCATTCCCCAACCCTCGCATCCGTTGCCGCCCCATCCGCCGCCCTCCCATCCGCGACTGCGGTCACTTCCGTCGCCGCCATCCTGCGCTTTTCCTCTCCATCCGCCAAGAGAATCTCCGCCGCCCCAGCCGCCACTGCGGTCACCTCCGCCGCCGTATCCGCCACTGCGGCCGCCCCAACCCCCACTTGTTCCCCAACCGCCGCCGCTGCTCTTTGAAGAATCCGCAACTGCGGCCCGTGTTTCCTCTTCCGCTTTGTCATCCCACCCTGCACGCATCTCTGCCCCGACTGCAGGCCGCGGAGGCGGGCGCGAGCCCGCCCAACCGCCGTGAAACCTACCGTCGGCGCGGGCTTGAGCCGAACGTGCATGGAGGAGGAGGATGAGGAGGAGGAGGGTGAATGTGAGGAGGATGATGCGTTCCTGGGAGGTGTGCCTTCGCGTGCAACACAAGAGCCCTGAGAATTCCTGAGGCCCCTCCAACAGCCAAGGACGCGGATGACAAGAAAGTCGAGAAGATTGGGAACCGATTGAGGATTAAGAGGCGTGCGACGAAAGGGATGATGATGACGAAGAGGAAGATCAGTGAAGGGGAGGAGCGGACAGGAATTATGGAGGAGTGATAGCAGAGGAGGAAGAGGGGGAAGGGGGAGGAGGAGGAGGAGGAGGAGGAGGGAGAGGAAAAGGGGGAGGAGGAGGAGGAGGAAGAAGGTGAGGAGGAGGAGGAGGAGGAGGAGGAGGAGGAGGAAGAGGAGGAGGAGGAGGAGGAGGAGGAGGAGGAAGAGGAGGAGGACGACGACGACGAGGAGGAGGAGGAGGAGGAGAGGGAGAAGGAGAACGGGGACAGGAGGACAAGGACGGAGAAATATAACAAATGAGGGGGAGGAGGCGGAGGAGGAGGAGGACGAGGAGGAGAAGCAGGAAGAGGAGGAGGAGAGGGGGGAGGAAGAGTGCGCGTGAGACTGGGAGAACGAGGTAATTAATTAGAGAGGGAACGGGGGAGGAGGGAGGACAAGGAAGAGCATACAGCGACGAGAAGAGGAGAAGGAACAGACGAAGGCTCCTGCTGATCGCATTTCCGCATCGTTCAAAGCAGTGCCGGGGCACTGCTTTGAACGACTGGTGATGTTCAAAGCAGTTCCCCGGCACTGTGTTCCATCGTCGCCGTTATAAGGGCTATTGGATTATGTGTGCCTGTGTGTGTGTGCGTGTGCGTGTTCGTTGGCGTGTGTGTGTGTGTGTGTGTGTGTGCGTGTGCGTGTGCGTATGTGTTCCGTAGCCATTTTGATTCAAACCATTTTGGCTCAAGGTCCTCTCAGTCAGCGCGCACGGGGGCGCGTCCGCTGCAATATGGAGCCGGGGCTGGGCCCAGGCGCGGCCGCGACGGCGGCCCACGAACCACGCGCTGGCAGCCCGGCGAGGCACCGGCAGCAACGGCGAACGCGCGGGCGGGCGCGCGTGCTGTTGCGGCTGGGCCAGGCGGCTGGCCTTCTTCAGCAACACCACAGCCGCCAGATGCCCCCCCGCCGCGAGCGCGGGCAACAAGCTCCTGGCGGGGAGGCATGCCGCTCCGACCCGGGGATGCTTGCTGCAGCGCTGCGGACGCTGCTCGGCGCGGGAGCGTCGGGGGCGGCTGCTGGCGGTGGATCTGGCAGGCGGCAGCGGCGTCAGCAGGAGCCGCAAGAGCAGCAACGTCAGCTGCCACGAGGTTGAGCTGGGGCTCGGGATGGTGGCCCTACCGAGCGGTTGGCGGGCCCCCGCCAGCCGATGTGGGGCTGCCCATGCGGGGTGGCCGACAACTGCGCATGCCGCGCGGCCTGCCGGGGTTGCGGCCGCCGCGCGCCCCGATCGGCAGGCGTGCCGTCCGCGCGGGTGGCGCAGCCGGGCCGGGCGCCTCGGCCCGCGACGAGGGCGCCGTGGGCTCCGCAGGCGGCGGGGCACCAAGGCGACGCGGAGGCTCCTCGTCCAACCACGGAGGCTGCGCCTGCGGCTGCGGGCGGCCCAGCGGCGGCTGCGGAGGCCGCCGATGCCACGGTGGCCGAGCCGGCGGCTGGGCAAGCGTGCATGTTTGAGACGACAATTTGAAAAGGTACCGCCGTCGATCCGTGAAACTCTTCCAAAGTTTGAAAACGAGTGTACGCGGCGCTAAGGCGAGAGCCACATTCTGAAAGCGACCCGCCCTCCATCTGTGAAACTGATGTCACTTTTGAAGCTTCAGAGTCGTACACGCCCAGACACTCACTTTGAACATTTGTTATAAGGATTTCTTGTATATTGGTGTTTAAGAGCATGTCCAAGAGCTTGCATTCTCTTAAATATATTATAAACATTTCATTGATGTGTCATGTGCATGTAAATGTATGTCGTTGCACATTGCATTACGCGCTTGACCAGACACACGCATACGTATGATGTTCGCATGCGCTGCTCTGGCCACGGGCCACGCCGCGCCTAGAAATATACTTAGGATACGGGACATGTAAATATCTGTTACGATCACCCCCCGCACATTTTTCAAGTAACCACAGCATAGCATAGCATTGCACAAATAGCATAGCATAGTTTCGCGTCGGCATAACACAGCATAGCATAGCATAGGGTCGGCGGAATCGTGGCGCAAGCCCGAGTGCGGCCAAGCCCTAAACTGACTGACTGCAAACGAATGACTGCAAACGAATGGCACACATTCCAAATGACTGCAAACGAAGCCCTTGTCTTATTTCCGGCTGACTGCAAACGAATGACACACATTCGCACTTCGCACGGGCCCACAAGCCGCACGATGAGGAAAAGCTGGATTCCCTAAAAGCCTGCTTTCTTCAGCGCCAAGGCAGCGGCGGCAGAGCGGCGAGAGTAGAGTTCTTCACCTACGATCCCCAAGCTCTTGCACTTCGTCGTCTCAGCGTGCCAGGCCCTAGAGTGGATCCTCTTCTTGAGCGACTTCTCGCTCACGCCAGTGTCGTCTGCTTTTTTTTTGCCCGCCCGATGTAGGCGGTGGCCCGATGGTGCCCCGACGGTGCCCCGACGGTGTCCAGACTCATGGCGCCCCGAAGGTGTCCCAGGGATGTCTGTTCTCATGGTGTCCCGACGGTGTCCCGATTTAGTGTAGGTTGTGTCCCGATGGTGTCCGACAGAGTTTTTGATGTTTGTGGTGCAGTAGTACCCTTCTTTTGGAAAAGGCGCTTAGGTTTTGCTCGGCTCGGTACCTGCTTGCCGTTGCTGGCGGGCTCCTCGGGCGCGTCGCCAGTGTTCGCCTCGGCGCTCTTGCTCTGCTTGCTCGTCTTGCTCTTCGGCTTGCTCGTCTTGCCCTGATTGCTCTGCTTGCTCGTCTTGCTCTGCTTGCCGTGCTTCTTCTTCTTGCCGCGCTTGTTCTCTCTGCCTTTCTTGAAGAGGGCGGTCAGCTCGACTGGAGTTTTCGGCCTCTCGTAGGGGGCGTTTGCCAAAGCAGACATCTCTGTAGAACTGAGAAGGTCGTGCTTCTTCGGGTCGGGGGTCTTGCAGCTCAAATGTCTCTTGCGGGGGGTGACCAAGCTCGGCGTTGCGCCGGTATCTCCATCAACCACGCGCTGCGGTGTTGTCACTGCTGGGGGACAAGCTGGTTTCCGCATCGGTGGCGGAGTTCTGAAAAAGGTCAAGCTCGAAACTATCATTGTCGTCGTGATCGTATGGTAAAATCGCTTGCTCTGAATTGTCCTCGGATATCTCTGTAGAGATCGTGCAAATCGACTGTGGACTTCCTGGCTGTTGTTCTTGTATGTCGACGTCGTCAGTGGTGGGCGCGGGCTGGCTCACGGCGACGTCGACGTCGATGAGATGAAGCGCCGATTGGGGGCTCGAGCACTTGTCGGGAATCTTCTTACTCAAGCGCTTCACCTCGCGAAGCTGGCCAATCATCGTTCGTAGATTAAAGACGCCCCTCTCAATCTTTGCCAAGGTATCGAACTTAGTGCCTGTATATTGGTTTAGCGAACTGTCAAGTTGCTTTGAGAAAAACTTCTGGTTAATCATACTGCCCTTTGTCTTGACAAGGACGTCGGCGATAGTTTGGCGCCGCGGTACAATCTTTGCAAATTCTGGCTTAGCTTTGAATTCACAAATCTTGTAATCGTAATCCCACCAAGCTTCAGGTGAGGCAATGGCAACTGTAATAGTGCTATCGAATATCTCTTTTGCGCCGTTGTCAGACACGTCAACCCGCCCGGCCCTGGTGGCCGAAGAAGTCATCCGCGAATCGCTAGAGCAAGTCAAAGTGGCAACCAGCTGTTCAGTAAATCAAATATGAGCTTAAAGAAAGCCTAGAAGCTCTAGACGCACGACATACACACACAGACACCGCCAAGTCAAATTAGACCTACTTTGATCAAATGTGCGCTTGTTGGTTGTTGTAATGTTTATTGTTTCTCATCTTGAATTTGACTTTGACTTTGGCTTTGACTTTCACTTGGGCTTCATATTTGGACCTCAGCTTTGAACCTACTGGAGACCTATGGGAGACCCCGGGGGGACCCATGGGACCTCTGGGAAACCCTTTAAGGCCCTGGGAGACCCCTGACCTCTGGGACCTTTGGGAGACCCCGCGGGTACCTTGGGGAACCTCTGGGAGACCTCTGGAACCTCGGGGAGACCCCTTCAAGTCCATAGAGTCGTGTAGAAGACATTTCTGAAGACGGCCGAGGCGCGTTTCCACGCGCCACACCAGCGTTGCAGGCTAAATGCCTAGACGTAGCAGTCGTCGAGGCCATGTCAAACGAACCGCGCATATAATGAAAGCGCGCCGAATCGAAACTCAATCAATGTCGCGCCCTCTCCGCCTTCTCCGCCTTCGTCTTGCCCTTCTTCGCCTTCTCCTTGATGCCGAAGTCCAAGGCCCACGTCTCGATCTCGAGGTACTCCTTGAGAACCTCGCTGACCTTCTTGATGAGCGCGGGGAAGTTCTCGCGCTTGATATTCCCAGGGTCTGCCATCATCTGTTTGACCGCGGCGTGCGCAGTGTTGGCCTTTTTCGCGAACTTCTCCATGTCGGTGGCGAGCACCCCTGCTAGACGGTTGGATTGCGTCTGCGGCAACAACATGTTCATCTCGCAAATCTTGTCGCTCAAGTTGCGTGACAATTTCTGCCGCGACAGCGGCTCCATGAACTCTGTGACACCCTTCTCCTCTTGCTCCTGGGGGCTCAGCGGCTCTTTCTTCGCCTCGGCGGCGGGCTCGTTCTTCTCCTTCTTGAGATTATGCAAGTTGACCTCCTCGTCGGCGCCCGGGCGATTGGCCTCGAACTTCTGCTTTTTCAACGCCCTCTCGTTGTCGAGCTGCTTCGCCCACTCGATCGGCACTGCATGCTCCTTCAGCGGGCCCTCGTTGCTCCCCTCGATTGGATCTGGGGGACATTTGAATTCCATGCTGGTCGACGGCGTCACGCCAAGCATTTCCTTTCTGAGGGCCAACTTCGGTGTCCATTTTCTCCGCCCCATCCACGTCTTCTGGCGACCCAACTCCGTGTCGAACTGCCGTCTCTTCCCGCTTTCGATGGTTCTGATGGTTCCCTTCTTCTGCCCCATCTAGGCCATGTACATCAAGAGACCCTTCCTGCGATCAACACCCCTCATGGCTGAAACGTCATCCACGCCGTTTTCCTTTGCCCACGCACTAAAACAACCCATTTTCGAACGTAATTGGGACTCGATGCAAGTAGCGAGGGCCCTCCTGGCGGCCTCCAGCTCGGCCTCCGACGGTTTCAGCAACTCCCCCGACCGCGGCGTCGTATAGAAAGGTGAAACGCGAATGCAGCTTCGCGAAAACCTTGGGCCAAAATATGGCTACACCAGACCCGTGGGCGCAGAGAGGCCGCGGCCCACATGGAGGCTCAGAATCCCATCGGCTCAGAGAGGCCCTTGCCATGAACCCCATGGGCTCTGAGAAGCCCTGGCCCACGTTGCACCCCGGGGAAGCACGTGGGGCCCTGGGGGGCCCAGGCCCTTAATCCTAGAAGAGCTTTCTCAAGCTCTAAACCCCGTAGGTCCATAAGGCCTTGGGCCATGCGAGTCCCTGGCGGAATCAGTTGGGGCCCTGAGAGGCACGGGCGCGCGATGAAGTCCGCAATGGGGACACAGTCGAATTTGATCAAATTAGAGTTAGTTTGACTTAGTTGGACATTCACTTTTCATTGTATTTTACAAGGTTTTAGCAAGTCAAATAAAATCAAACTTGATCAAATTGTACTCACAATTGACTGGATATCGTTAGTCACGAAAACTTTCCGCGTAGCTTCGAGCGCGCCCCAACTCAGCCCGACCTCAGCCATAAAGGGGCCTGAATGGAACCACAGGTGACTTGGGGAGGGCCTACGTGACCAACATAGATTGCTTTATCACTGCTTTATTTTCTGCCAGCGCCTGCGGCGGGCATTGTGCCAGGAACGCGCTGTGCTAATCAGCTCTTAGCGTCGTGGGCGTTGAGTTGTGTTATTATTCATGTTGTTTGAACGCTCGCACTCCCCCCAGTGGCAGCCGTGGGTCGGAGACACCGACGACAGGGACGACGACGACGACGTCGTCATCGTCGTCGTCGTCCTTGTCGCGGTCGTCTCCGACCCACAGCTTTCGCATGCTTATTTTATGACGCAGTGCTTCCAGCGCTGGTGACCGATCAACTCGGCGACGCATTATTGAAATATACAAATGCACGCAACGCTGCAATCCGAATCAACACATATTGACGAAGTCGCAAAGTGTTCAACCTTCCACAATAAATCGAAATCATATTGACATACACAGCAAATCTATTATCACTCGCTCTTTTGGTAGCGTTTGCAATCTGACCCAGATGCGCTTGAAGCACTTGCATTCTGAACGGAATCGGGAATCTCGATGTCGTGCTTTTTGAGCTTGCTGGTGATCTCGTCTACCGTAGGTTTCAGGTTAGTCCATCCAGACCTGATTTCCATGAGCCACTCCCTCGCCTCTTTGATCTTCGAAGAATCTGCACTCGCGAAGCCGCCGTCGAAGCAAACCAGGATGTAGCTCGCAGCCGCGCCGACGATCTGCAACATGTTTTCGAGCTCCTTCAGCAACGTCATCGTGTATTTCGTTTGGCCGATCTGCACCATCGCCGCGGAGATGACTACGCCCATGTCCTGAATCTCTTCGTTGACTTCAATGAGGTCACCGATGTGAGTAGAAGAAAGAGCCACAGTCGAAGCACTCTCTAAGTCGACTTCATCAATTTCGCCTGCTGCCTGTTGCGCCGGCGGCACTCCATCTGGGCTTGGAACATCTCGCCAAACGCCTAGCTGAGACGATGGGATACTGCCGTCGTCCACGCGGCAGGAAAGGTAAAGAACACCAGAGAAACTGCTTGAATTAAAATGGCAACGAAATTGTGAGAGAAGACCGCGCTGATCCACGGCGCCGCATCTGAGTTCGGGGGTCCCCGCGGCGCTGCGCTGACACAACCATGAAACTTATTGCTTTCGCGCCCCTTGGGGAGCAACCCGAACTGCATTCGGAATGTCTGTTTAGCACATTCTCCTGCGGCTTGAAATCATAGCGGTTCGGGCGACATCCAAGCGGAAATGCGTCTCAATTCGTTTGAAACACAATGCTTTTCTGCATTCATTCTTGTTTTTCTGGCGGCGCCTGCGGCGGGCATTGTCGCAGAAAATACTGGCGTCGTGGATCAGAATAAATATGCGCGCTTCTTGGGGTCTTCTCGGGGGGCCCCCAGGGGCCCGCGATATTGGGGAGAGAGGGGGGCAGGCAAGATTCAAGCATCCTGAGCACATCTTCGAAGCATATTGACTGCTTCTTGGCTATTCCTAGGGGTCCTCTTCGAGAGCTCTGGGGTGTCTTTTGGAGCCCTTTGGTGGCCGCCTGAGGGCCATGCATATGCAAGCGCTGATGGCCTCGATGATGTGATGGTGGTGATATGAAACGTGATGGCGATGCTTATGCTGAAAATGTTGTTCGTTTTCCTTCGCCAGATGTAAGCAGCAACCGTTTGTGCATGGCCACGCGCGCCATCGTCCGAGGGCGACAAGAATGTGCTACCTCGATCATGTGGCCGACCATATCTTCGTCAGCATACACCCAGTAGTATCTCGGGTTGTCATAGTGAATGGCCTGTCACTCGCACAGGCGCAAGAAGAGGTGATGCTTTGGTTGCAATTTCCAAAGCTTCAGCGGGGTAGCTCCGCCCGATGCTTCCGCTGACAATTGGCCGCAGAAGCATCGCAATGTCCGCCCAATATCAGGCAGCCGCCTCTTCGCACCGTCAGAAGAAACATGCCCCCCGATTCAATGATGTCATAGAAATCAACGAGGCACTGGGCGACGCCCAAGCGACGGCGATTGTGGACAGTGCCGCCATTGTGACCGAGTGCGAGTTTCAACGCGAACCTGGCGAGGTGACGCGTTGCAGCGGCCTTGGCCTTAAGCTTCGGCCAGCCCCCTGCCGTGCGAATCCGTTCAACCTTGAGCTTGCCCTGTCTCTTTCGTCGACTTGTGGCGCGCTTGCATTCCGTTAAATAGCATAGCTGCGCGTTTGTTTTCAGCGTTGGGCTCGCCCCGCGTGCGGGCCGGTATCAACTCCCAAAAGATATTTCCAATGACGTGTGAAGCTACGCCTTGATCGACAGCGCGTAAGACGTCAACCACCACGCATTCCAGCCGCAGGCCAATCGCGTTCTTGAAGAGAACAAGCAGAACGCGCACCTCTGCTACGTGCGACTCGCGCGTGCGCATCGTCCGACGCCAACCAGCACGCGGCCGACAGTCCGTGAACACGAGCTCCGGAATGATGCTGCTAGCTTTACACATCCAGCACATTTCTTCTGCTCCATTCCACGCAGGGAACTTAATGAGTTCACGCATGAACTGCCAGTCCCCACGGACTTGAGTGAAAACGCCTTTCCAGCCGCCTGCGAGGCAGTCACTTGTGGTTGCCACAGGGAAGCCGTGCCAATTTACACTAGGATGAATGCCTGTCAAAAGCGTGTTCATACTCCAAGCGAAGATTCTCATGATCTCGTCAAGCGCGCCTGCAGTTAAATCTGATTTCTTCAGAAGCGTAAAGACGAATCGCTTTGCAGTCGTACTTCCAGTGCCAAGCAAAGAATTCCATGTAAACAAATACACAGACTCCTGTTTAGAAAACGCACCAGCATCGCCATGCAGCCCGACAGGAACTGATCGTGCCCAATCCTTTCGTTTCAAAACAGGGTGTGCTGATACAGATGCAGTGTCTCTCATCGATTCCCAGAAATCGAACGCCGCGCCTTCTGGCCCCGTCACGCAAGTTTGCCACGTCCCAGGCGCATCAATGAAAAGCCAACAAAACCACTCATGTGGCAGAAACAGTGGGTGCACCATCTTGCCTCTAGTTGTAGGCAATTCAGCCCACGTGAAATCAGGTGTACCTCTCGGCTTCCCAAAAGCTGCAACTAGCGATCGCTGCGCATTTTGCACGTGAGAAGAGCGAGCGAAACTCTGAAGCCCACGGGCCCCCTGGTTATGGGCAGCAACGCAGTACTCCAGTACCTTCACGGAGCTCAGTTTTCCTCGGCCCCAATCGCGCTTCATAGCAACAGTGAGTGGGAGATCAGTTTCGGCACTGCGGGGCTCATCCGCTGCAGACGGCCCTTCGGCGGCGCGACGCTGGCGAACCAGTCTCTGCGGCACAGACAACGCCTCCGCCCTCGAGCTAGACGGGGCGCCAGGCGCACCAGATTCTTCCAAGCGTTGGCGCACGCCGCCACGACCGACGGAACAAGCAGCAGGAAGGGCGCCGCCACGGGCCCCCCCGTCGCCAGATAGGTCTGCCAGACGTCGCTTCAGACTTCTACTCATCTGACAAGCGTGGAGCTTAATTCTGGGGGCGCTGGAGCCAACGCTTGAGCCAAAATGGCTACGGAGTTAAAGAGTGGCCGAGAGAAGCAAAGCAGTTGCAGGGGCAGCAAGGACAGACGCTCTATGTCCAGTGCCATTATAAAATGAGGGTGCTAACATCAAATAAGCATGTCGGTTACCTTATTTGTTTTGTTTGTGTTTCGCTGAGAAAAACATGCGAGCATCTTTCAACAATAGGTCGAATTCAACAAAACAGTGAAAACACCTTAAAAACATGTGACAACACGTATAATTAAGAAAAGCAGCACCAAAACACTAATAGTTTAGTTTTCCTTACCAATGAATTACACCTTTTCTTATAAAACAGAATGATCGAGCGTCAGGGTAGTGAGGGTGTCTCAGGCGGAACGCCCGGCCCACGATAAAAACTGGCCTCGGGGTGCGACAAGGAAAAGTCATATGTAAGGAGAAGGAATGGATGAGGAGAAAGAAGAACCGGAGGAGAGCGAGGAGAGGACTGACTCCCCGTGGCACCTGAAGCCTCCCTGGGGACGCTCTGGGTCCGGCGGGGTGTGGGCGCCAGCCTGCTGGGTAGACGGGGACGCACAGGGCCTTGGCCACCGCGCCCAGGTGTTTCACCTCGGCCGCTTCAAGGCCGAGGGAGGAAGAGGAGGCGGAAGAGGGAGAAAGTTCACGAGAGGAAGGAGACAGTAGGGAGAAGGAAGAGAGGGCTGGAGGGAGACGGGGGAGGGAAGCGGGGGAAGGAGGAGGAGGAGGCGGAGGTGGAGGAAAAGGAGGAGGGGGGCCCCCTCCCCCTCCAACTTCTGGTGGCGGTAGAGGAGAAGGAGGTGGAGGAAGAGGAGGAAGAGGAGGAGGAGGACCAGTGTAAAACCAAGAGCCATTAACGATGTTGGAATGAACCATCCCTCCAAACTCCGTCTTCATATCCCCCATTGAAGAAAGTGCCTCGTCGGAATAAAACCGTTTGAAGATCCTGAAGCATGCCAAAACATGTTCTCGGGACTCAAACGCCACATCCGTGGAACTCTTGCAGATTTTGACAACGAGCGTGAGCGGCACAAAGGCGAGAACCACATTTTGAAAACCACCCGCCCTGAATCCGCGAAATTCTTGCAAATGTTTGATAACGAATGCGCGCGGCGCTAAGGCGAAAACCACATGTTGGAAAGGTACCGCGGTCAATCCGTGAAGCTCTTGCAAAGTTTGCAAACGAATGTGAGCGGCGCTAGGGCGAAAACCACATTTTGAAAACCACCCGCCCTCAATCCGTGAAGCTCTTGCAGATTTTGGCAACGAGTGTGCGCGGCGCTAAGGCGAGAGTTTCATTTTGAAAACCACCCGCCCTCAATCCGTGGAACTCTTGCACATGTTTAGAATTAAAACGAATGTGCGCGGCGCTGGAGCGAGAGCCACATTGTGAAAACCACCAGCCCTCAATCCGTGAAGCGTTTGCAAATGTTGAGAACGAATGTGCGCGGCGATGAAGCGAGAACCAACATTTGAAAACGACCCGCCCCCAATCCGCGAAACTCTTGCATGTTTAGAAAACGAGTGTGCACAACGAGAAGGCGAGAACCACATTTTGAAAACCACCCGCCCTCAATCCGTGAAACTGTTGTCACGTTTTAAGCTTCAGAGTCATAAGTGGTGAGGAAGTCTCAGGCGAAACGCCGGGCCCGCCCTAAAAACTGGCCTCGGTGTGCGACAGGGAGGAGTTATCAATAAGGAGAAGGAATGGAGAAGGAGGAGGAGGAGGAGGAGGAGGAGGGAGGGAGGGAGGGAGGGAGGGAGGGAGGGAGGGGAGAGAGGGAGGGAGGGCGGGACGAGAAAACAACATACCATGGGGAAAGGAGGAGGAAGACGAGGAGTTCATGCGCGGCGTCCCACTGCCATTATCCTGCCTCGTGCTCCTATTGCTCCAGGTCCTCCTGGAGATAATGTTCCTCCTGCTGCTGCTGCTGCTCCTTTTTCTTGTCTTCCCCCCCCTTCCATCCCCGCCACTCACAATCCGTCACCTCTCCCTCTTCTCCTCTACTCCTCCCCCCTGTCCATCCTTCTCCCACCCCTACCTTACCTCCCCGTCCTCCTGTCCCTCCTCGTATTCGTCCTCTGCCATGTTCCTCCCTCCTGTCCCTACCACCGACTCACACTCATTGTCATCCCCCTCCCCCTCGTCTCTCTGCCCCCTCCTCCCCCTCCTCCCCCCTCCCTTTTCCGCTTCTCCTCTAGCCGCTCGTCTTTCTCTTTCTCCTCGCACTCCTCCTCCTCCTCGCCCCCCCACCACCCCCGCCAGAGCGAACTACCTGCTCCTGCAAGAACGCCCCCTCCCCCTGCCCACCATCGCCCCACGGCTCCCCGGCAAGGAGGTCCTGTGGCCTCCTCGCAGGATGCCAAGACGCCGCCCCCAGATGACCCTCCGGACCCCCTTGGGCCAGCCGATCACCACCAGCCCAGCGCACATGCCGCTGCCTGCAGGTGAGGGCGGGGGGACAGGAGCAGGGAGGGAGGAGCACGGGGAAGGTCGACTGCGAGGAGCAGAGAAATGGGGAGCAGGGGACAGAAAAAAAGGCCGTAGGAGGAGGAGGAGGAGGAGGAGGAGGAGGAGGAGGAAGAGGAGGAGGAGGAGGAGGAGGAGGAGGAAGAGGAGAAGGATGCCGAGCGAGGGAGAGGAGGGATGACAAGAGCGACGACGACGACGACGACGTCGGCGAGGACGAGGACAAGAAGGAGGAGGAGGAGGAGGAGGAGGAGGAGGAGAAGGAGGAGGAGGAGGAGAAGGAGGGAGGAGGAGGAGGGGAGATGAGGGGCGTCGTCGTCGTCGGCGTCAACGTCGTCGCCCTCGCTGGCGAGGGGAGAAGAGGCATGGCGAGGGGGCAACGATTTGAAGCAGGCCGCCGCCCGTGAAAGTGGCCAGCAGCACCAGCACGCGCCAGTCTTCGAAGCCCTCCAACACGCTCGCGATGGGTAGGCCATGCCCGAACCGGAGGGTGAGCAGGCTCACGACCATGGCCCCGCAACCCATCCTCGATGGTCGAAAGGAAAGGCGAGCCGGAGCAGTTGGGAGTGCGGAGGGTAGAGGCAGGAGGAGGATGACGATGAAGAGGAGAAGGGGGAAGGGGAATCGAGAGGCGGAGAGGGAGGAGGAGGAGGAGGAGGAGGAGGAGAAGGAGGAGGAGGAGGAGGAGGAGGAGGAGGAGGAGAGGAGGAGGAGAAGGGGGAAGGAGGAGCAGGAGAAGGAAGGAGGAGGAGAAAGAGGAGAAGGAAGGAGGGACAACGAGAGAGAAAGAGGGGAGAGACGGAAACAAAGACAGAGCGAAAGAAGTAACAATGGATCAAAAAGACGCATCATGAGGACGAGAGGGAGGAGGAAAAAGAGGGTCGGAGTAGGAGGATGGGGAGGAGGGGGGAAAAGGTATGGAAGAAGGATCAGGGATGCAGGCGGAGACAGGAACGAGGAGGGAAGAGGAGGCAGGAAGAGGAGGGGCAGGCGGACGATTTCGCCAGGTGGGGCGCGGGGAAGCAAGGAAGGACAGAAAGGAAGAGGAGTGAATGACGGAGGGACAAACAAAAAGAGGGAGGATGAGGGCGGAAAAGCAGGACGAGGGCGGACGGAGCAAGGAGCTCGAAGGCATGTGGCCGTGGGGCGCCTCGGCCCCGCTGGTGAGACTGGAGGCCTGGCGCACCACCATGTAGCATCAAGTCGGGCGTGTCCCCCTACAGGGGGATTTGGGGCGAAAACTTCATAATAGTCAAAACATAACCCCCAATTTGGCAAAGATAGTACAAAAAATCGTGCCCCGACTATTTTCTGACTATTTTTGAATGTACCTCCTGTAGAGGGACAAGCCCGACTTAAATGTAGCAAAACACTGCACCTGATGGAGACTGCTCCAGGATCCCAGCTGGCTTTGTCTGGCACCGTGTCCTGCCTCAAGCGTGACGGCTCAGGTCGAGCCCAGCTCCGTCCTCCTCTGCCTGCCCTCATCCCCTCTGGACGCATCCCCGAACCCGATTGGAACCTCCCAGACTGTTCAGTGATGCGATCGAAAAAGCCGCCGGGATCGCCGATGATCTGCCCTGCGATTCTCCCCCTCCGCCAACCTCGGCGTCCTCCATGATGCGTCGTCCCGCCGTCCACCCAGCAGCGCGGCCGAATCTCTCGTTCTTTCTCGACCTCGCTCTCTTCCCTTCTCCCCACCCTGCTACCGTCTGCCGCCGCCTGCAGATACCTCCAGGGCCTCCAGCATCCTCCTGGAGCCTCCCCTCGTCGCCTCCGCCGCCTCCTCCGCAAACCCTCTGCTAGTCCCTCCTTCCCGCGTGCGCTAGTATACGTTACACTTCTCCGCAACCAGCGTGGGCTAGTTAAAAGGGGGCGACGGGATGGCTCCAGAGAGACAAAGGAGCCCACATCCGTGAAGGGTGCAAGGGGGGAGGACAACGAGGAGGACAACGAGGAGGAAGACGAGGAGGAAGACGAGGAGGACAACGAGGAGGAAGACGAGGACGAGGGCGAGGATAACGACCGACGGCGTCTAGAACTGCTGCAGCAGCAGGAAGGGGAGGAGGAGGAGGAGGAGGAGGAGGAGGAGGAGGAGGAGGAGGAGGAGGAGGACGACAGAGTCCAGAACTGCTGCAGCAGGAAGGGCACCCCCGTCTGCTGCGTCAGCAGCCGCTGCTGCAGCACGGCCGCCAGCGACGCCAGGGCCACGCCCGCGGTCCGCTGCGACAGCCCCAGCCACCAGCCTCGGTGCCAGCTGCCCTCCTCGCCGGGGGTGGGATCTGCGGAGGCCCCTCCGGACGGCCCTCGGGTGGCCACCCGGGGGGGGGTCCCCGGAGGCCTTCCGACGTCCTGCGGGGGCCTTCTCGGGCCCTCGGGGGTCTTCGGGAATCTCCCTGGCTGCGTTCTCGAGGCCTTCGGAGGCCCTTCTGGGAGTCGTTTAGCAGGAAGGGCACGGGGCCCGAGGGAACCGGGCCCTGGACCACGGGGAGCTCCTCCGTCCTGAATCGTTTTCTGACGGTCGCGGGGCCCCGAGGGCCCGAAACCGTAGAAAAGCCTGAGGACCTGTTTCCCTCGGCACCCCTTTCCTTCATGGCGAGTCTTCGGGGTCTTTCGAGTTCGTCTGTCGGGAAGGCTCTGCCAGGAGGTCCTCGGAGGCCCTGAGTGGGGGTGCTGTCCGAGGAGGCCGTCGGGCGACTCTGGGCGTCTACGCGGAAGGGCTGTCGGAGCTTTTGCCACACGCCTTCCAGAGGTCGTCGGAGGTTTTCCAAGGGTTCGTGGAGGTGGCATGTCGTTCTCAAACACGAACTATTGCAGACCCCCTAAAAACAATTCTGCAGGAGTCCAGATGAAACACGAGGCGGATGGTGAAGGGGAATGGTGAGGAAGGCGGACGGAAGCGGAGGATAAGGGGCAAGAGCAAGAGAAGAGGGACGGAAGTAGTG